TCAGCTGTGTTCTGAAGACCACAGCCAACTTCCATCCACATTTAGGTTGTTGTTCTTACGCTAAAACAATCTAAACGTTATTGTTAACAGGTGAAAGTCATCTAAAGTCACCGTAGTGTTGCGGTATATATGACAGCACCCTCAAGCCAGATCATTCCCAGCTTTGGTAACTATACAGCCGCGTATCAGTTGTTGTAGTCAAGACCAAGTTTACCTCCAAACATTAATGATACTGTTTTGCTGTGTTCTGTTTACCTATCACCGTTACCTGTCACCAAGGAGGAGGAGGAGGAGGTAGTATCTGCTGTTAACATTGGTTCGTCTCCCTCGCCACCGATCATATCAACATCAGATACGATTCAAACAATCCCATGCAGAGAATCCTTCCTGTGTACAGCTCTGATGCCTCGACTCTAATCACACCAACGCTACACTTTACTTACCTTCAATATTAAATACATTCTCTCTCCATTAAAATAAACACCTGGTAAAGTTTATATTTTTAGCAGTTCAATATCTTCATCACTTACTCGATCAAACATTCTTCTCACACGAGCTCCGAGAGAGATGGGAGGAAGAGACCGTCTCCATTAATAACTTCACTCACAAATTGTCGGTGAGTCAACACGTATTTCCATCCAATCCTGAAATAAGGTAAACACTCTTGACCTCCTCACCACCTATCGGAGTTCTCCATCTGTCTTACTTATGCGAGCGCGTGCGATGACTTGACTCTCTCTCTCTCTCTCTCTCTCTCTCTCTCTCTCTCTCTCTCACAATAATTAACGCTTAAATTTCGCGTCACTTTCAACACAGCTGATGAGGTAAGTTTTTATTAACTTTAATTTTCTTTCCCCAAAAACGGCGGAAAACGTTGATACACTAATGAAGGAATATTAGTGTAAATAGATGATTAATTATGAAGAAATAATATGGGAATTTTGCACCTGTTGTATTCACCTGTGTTTAATAGCTCGTTACACCTTGACATGTACACAGAGATTGAGTCGATTTACTTTATACTTTTCTTCTAACATAATTGTTTTTAATATTAAGATACTATAAAGGTTTCAGAAGTTGATCCACGAATCTGGAAATATATCAAATGACGCCACAGTCCACTTCACACACACACACACACACACACACACACACACACACACCATTCAGAATCTTTTACGACGATCATGAAGACAAAATTCTGCTGGCACCATTGTTGTTTTATTCACACGCTCCCTCCATCAGCACGAAAACTTTCTCGCTCTTAACAAACTGATTTAACCTTGACTTCATCGTACCAGCGCCACACCACTATCTCTCCATCACATGCCATCAGAGAACTCAGCTGCGATGTCAATTCTAAGCGACAGTGACTCGGCTCTTGTGGCGTCAACCAGACAATAACAACAATCACTCAGTAATTTATAAATCTTCCCACAACCCAACGTCATCAGTCATTTGTTTTTCCTTTATTCTCGAACTCGAAATCCCACGCGCGCATTATATCTATTCCTTAAGATTTATATTCTCGGTATAGGACGGAGGTGGTGTTCCGGTGATACATTTGACGCTTTTGGCCCAGAATAGCTTGATACTTATCTTCTTCTCTCACACCAGCTGTCGTTCTTCACCATTAATCAAGGTGTAGGAAGCGTGTTGATGGAGAGTTTTCCTCACGTAGGCGGTGTTTCTCTCCTTCACATTACAGTCATAACGTAATATACAGTAGACAGATCGCGGCATCTCATTGAAGAACACACCTTTACCTGTACACACACACACACACCTTAATGAGTTATTTACCACACCATTACAGTTCATCTTCCTGTGTCCTTGAAAATTCTCTCTCTTTAAAGTCTTAGCCAATACACGATAAGTTCAGACTCATTCCACTCTTGTTATCATAAAACAAAGCCCCTTTTGTCCTCTTCGTGCAACAGCAGATGTGTTTTTGCAACAGGTCGTGTTATATATTCAAGCCTGCGTGCCGGGAACTTAGGGAAGAGTGTATTGTGTTGCCGAGGAAAAACAGTGAATGGGTGTTGTTGAGGAAGACGCATCAGACTTAGGTGTGTCATAACCTGTGGCTGGTGGGCCAAGTTGGGCGAGATGGTCTCAGGCAAGAGGGTTATGGCATATGTCTCTTGGTTACTATTAGTTTTGTTGGGGGCCACTTGTACCCTGGAGTGTGGTGGGTCATTTGGTGGGAGGAGGGCCATGGCCATGTGACTACCAGTGGGGGGAAGGCCATGGCCATATGATCAACAGCGCAATGTTTGGGACCCACCACCCCAAGTATCACCAAGCTGATGTATTTTGTGTTTGATTTCCACTTGATAATAAAAGCGTGAGAAGACCTTCCCTCTCACCGTCTTGAAGGAGGTGTCGCCGTCCTCCGGTGATCTTGTTCCATGACCAACACCTCCTGGACAGTTTTAACAATATCCGTCATCTACTTGAGGGTCATGTACTGTAGGTAAGGAAGACTGGGATATTAACATCACTACGTACAGTTTGTTCGTGTTGTGATTCTGATAAACTTTATAATAAGTAACAACAGCGGCCATCAGTCATAAACCAATCACACACAGGCCCTTAAACAAACACAAGATAATGTTAAGTGTTAAGGGAATTTTGGCGGTAAGTGTACATGATGGTTCTCAGTCATCAAATTTAATCAATATTCGATTTTTTTGAACAATAATAATAAAAACTTTACTTAACATCGTCTACACCAGATGCTCACCTCCCTGTGCAGTACTTCCCTGGTGTTGATATTCTGTAACTCTCCCGTCAGCTGCTGCTCGTCTACTGTCTCCTCCTCGCTCAAAATACTATGAGTAAAGATAGTATTTTGAGCGACTGTACCTTACTGTATCTGACTGTACCTGTAAGAAAATTTGGGAGGAAGATTAAATTCTGAAGTTCTCGTATGTATTAGTCCTCCCAGCAGCCAGCCAGTTTACTACTTACCCGCTAAGAGGTGTAATCTGAGGCGCTCTTCATCCCTGCACTGGTGGGGGGGAGGAGGGGTGTGGTGGGGGGAGGGGGGGAGTTGCATTCCTTTTTGTTGAAAATTTTCTCTCGTGGCACTTACTTTTAACACTCGTTCTCTTAAAAGTGTCTAACAAACATTTTAATACTTGGAACAATTTACACACACACACACACACACACACACACACACACACACACACACGTTTTCCTCATTATAAATAGTGGATTAATGTGTTTTCAGGTTTCCTCTTTCATTTCCTCACTTATCATTGCGTCTATTAACTTTTATTTCTGGTTTATTTTATATCGTCTATTTTTAATTTGATCATTAAAACTTTTTAAAACTTTCTGTACGTTTATACTTTTATTCTCTGTAAATTATCGCGTCCATATTATACTTATTGAACCGTCTTGTATGTAGCCGTACTCTCTCTCTCTCTCTCTCTCTCTCTCTCTCTCTCTCTCTCTCATAATGATCGTTCTTAGGGCATCAAATCATCTTCCTCAAAGGGTTAACCTAACACATAACATCTAACACATCACTCTACACTCTTGAACACAACACCTCCTAAGCTAACAAGTATTGTACTGTAGGCTAACGTGACAATATTGGCCACGTGTTCTGGATGACGGTCACACTAGGGTAAGGGTAGATCACTGGAAACTGTGGTAGTACCTTGAAATTGACTTCCAGTGGTCCTTTTAGTACGATAAGTGAATCTCTTAGCCCCAACATGATGTGCCAGCCTCCTGCACAACACACACAAACTAACAAACTATCATGATCATATAGTACATCTGGCTACCGCTTCTCCTTAAGTCATTTATTTGGGAAACATTCTTATGTACTTTTGTTGAAAATTGTGTACAGCATTGAGTTGCAGCTTCTTCCTACCTGTCAGGCAGCTTTAGCTACGATTATTTTATCCAATTTACTTTTAATTATTTATTCATTGAAGTATGTATTGCACAGTGACACCCCCAGCCCCTCCCAAGGAAATTTCAACATACAAAAACATCTCCATCGTCACAGTGGCTTCCCAAATCCCTCCCTTTTTTTTTTCAGAAATTTTTTGACGCCGGAAAGAATTTTGTTGTGTGCTGTCATGGGAGGAATTTTGTCGTGATCTTTTGGTGACTATTTACATTTTAAATTTTGTTAACACATGAGAAGCAGCCATTTCCCCCCTATCACTAGGCAGTAAGTTTACTCCCCCTCCCTTTCCTGCCCCTCCCCTCCCAGACGACCCATCTCCATGACCCTTTCTCCTCCTTGTGGGGTCATGTTACCTCGTCTGCGTCGGGCTTAACGTATCATAGCCTGAGTTTTTATATTTATTTATTTATTTATTTTTTGGGACTCATGAATGGTCATAGATTTTGTTGTTGGCAGCAGACCAGTCCCCCCCACTATACTAACACCACTAACTAGGCTCTCTTCCCCCCCTCTGCATCCCTGCCCGCCCGCCCGCCCGTCCGTCCGCCCGCCCGGCTCCGCCACTCCGTACGTCGAATATCATCGCCCACCGCCGCACCTTCACCGCACACTTCCCCCCTCACACGCACCCCTTCCCTTTTCCTTTGCCACATTTCTTTTACTATTCTCCCTTAACCATATCCTCTCTCACATATTTTTCCCTTCCTTTTCCCTCTTTATCCTTTGTTTCCTCCTCTATTTACACCGTCTCTTCCTCCTCCTTCACCTTCCCTTCTTTTTCTTTTTTTACCCTTAATCTCCACCCCTGTTATACCTCCTCCACTTTTCCTCCTCTTGCTCCCTCCTCCCTCCTCTTCCTCCTCCTCCTCCTCCTCCTCCTCCTCCTCCTCCTCCTCCTCCTCCTCCTCCTCCTCCTCCTCCTCCTCCTCCCTCCTCCTCCTCCTCCTTCCTCCTCCTCCTCCTCCTCCTCCTCCTCCTCCTCCTCCCTCCTCTCCTCTTCCTCCTCCTCCTCTTCCTCCTCCTCCTCCTCCTCCTCCTCCTCCTCCTCATCCTGACTTGCGAGTAGATGGTCCCTCTCATGAAGACTGGCTGCTGTTTAGCGATGAGTCAGGGCTGGACGGGGACAGCGACACCTACCCGACAAAGGAACCAAGTACGTCATTTCCCTCTTTCATTTCCACTCTCAAGAGACAAAACATATATCAACTCTCTCTTAAAAGGAGTTAGATTCGTCAACTCTTTTTCAAAAGGAGTTAGATTCGTCAACTCTCTTTCAAAAGGAGTTAGATTCGTCAACTCTCTTTCAAAAGGAGTTAGATTCGTCAACTCTCTTTCAAAAGGAGTTAGATTCGTCAACTCTCTTTCAAAAGGAGTTAGATTCGTCAACTCTCTTTTAAAAGGAGTTAGATTCGTCAACTCTCTTTCAAAAGGAGTTAGATTCGTCAACTCTCTTTCAAAAGGAGTTAGATTCGTCAACTCTCTTTCAAAAGGAGTTAGATTCGTCAACTCTCTTTTAAAAGGAGTTGGATTCGTCAACTCTCTTTCAAAAGGAGTTAGATTCGTCAACTCTCTTTCAAAAGGAGTTAGATTCGTCATGTTCTGATCGTTTGCTGCTCGTCTCTCTCCTTAAAAGATATCGTTGCTAATGTTTATAAAATAACCAGAGCGTTTGATCTAAATTCACCTTCCCTCCCTCCATGTCCCTGCTCACCTCAAGGCAGTTATGAGTACAATTTCTTCCCGTCATAAGGAATATTTTCTTTTGTACTTTTTTTTTAGACTTATTTCCCTATAGCAATTTGTTTTAAACTTGATGATGACGTTTAAAACAGCACTTTATTAATACAATTCAACATGACCTGTGATGTGATGTTTGACCTTCCGTGACCTTCCGTGACCTGACCTTTTTGTCTCTCACCTATCCTGTGTATTCCATCAGATTTTTAGTCACAACAGATCATTTCTTCCTCTTCTTCCTCCTTCCTTTTCTTCCTCGTTTATCAATGGTCTTTGTACACCTGTTTTCCTTACTTGTTTATTGCATTATTCCCTTTTAGTGTGACTTTATGTAACCTGTTTGTCTCATTTAAGGAATAAACTCTCCCCAAAAGATTATAACTACAATCAGTAATTCCCCTAATTAATTATTATACTTAACCTTTTACAATTAATCCTTTATAATCTTGTACTTCAACTTCTAATTAATATAAACACAATTAATCTCTGTCTCGATGGTTAGTTATTTAATCTCTTCACAAGACGGATTTATATAATTTATTTAATCCTAATGTAGTGTATATTTAATCCTTTTAATTATACACGATTTTTATATCTTAATTCCTAAGCTAATTATTCCTATGTATTTTTAACTATATTTATCTCTATTTATTATCCATCTTTATCTTTATTTCTAAGTTATTATTCTTCTGTTTCTGCTGTGTCTGTGTGTGTGTGTGTGTGTGTGTGTGTGTGTGTTCTGTTTCTACGTTTTATTCTCTCTCTCTCTCTCTCTCTCTCTCTCTCTCTCTCTCTCTCTCTCTCTCGTTAGTGACAAAGAATTTACGTGAGTTAATTCATGTAATTTTTATTCATCTATTTACCGTTTATTTATTTATTAATTTTCTTGGTGTAAAACGAATACTTCTCTCTTCCTTCTTCATTCACCAGTTGTCTCTGGGCCATCGCTTCTTCCTTCGTTACCTATAGGTACTTTGATACCTCCTCGTTAAACATTTCTTTCACTCTCTGTAAGTACTTCACTGCAATAACTTTAAAACTCCCGACTTTCTGTAATATTCTGTAAGTACATTTCCGCTATCCGTAAGTACTCGTTTATCTCTCTTCTACTTTCTTTATTATCTTGTAAGTACTTTTTCTATTTCGGTAAGTGTCCCTTTCTCTCGTCTCATGATTTCGTGAGTGCTTGTCAATACTGTCTTGTACCTTTCCTCTGTTGGTAAGTACTGCTATGTCTCTTACCTCTACTTTCTTCAGTTTCTGGTAAGTAAGTACTTCTCGGCCATCCACCAGTACTCTTTCTTTAATCTCGACTAACTTCTTCACTATTTGTCGAAAGTACTTTTCCCGCCAATCGTAAGTACGTCTTTCTCTTTCCTCTACTTTCCTTAATGTAGGTACAGTAGCTAAAACAACTATCAGTGAAGGTGGGGGTCGATATGCTCCGAAATTTTACGTGTGACTAGTGACAGTTCTCATATACCAAAATTTATCGTCCATGGTCTCATATTGTTTCCCATAAAGTATACACAGATAGTTGTTTTAGCTACTGTACCTGTTCTAAATTTCTTAAGTTTTAAGTACTGTTTCAACTTCTTTCATAGTCTTTAGATACTTCTTTCACTTTCTAGATGTATTTCCTTCATTATATGGAAGTACTTTCTCCACTATCAGCAAGTATCTCCTGAATTTCTTTATTTATTATTTTTTTCATTCTACAAGTTCTTCTTTCATCGTATGTTTGAATACCTTTCTGAATGTGCTTTTGAATTTCCTTAATATTACTTCATTCCCTGTATATTTTTTCTTTAGAAGTACTTTCTTTACTCTAGTAGTACTTCCTTCAATATATATTAAGCCTTCCATCTCTGCAAGTACTTTCTTCATCGGTACTCTGAACTCTTCACCGTTGATGTTATGTACTCTATACTTCCTTCACTAATTACTTCTTTCGCTGTTAGACATTTCTTTCTCTTGGTTTAGTCTTTCTTTGTTTTAAACATTGTCTTCAATTAAAAGTGATTCTTTCACTTTCTTAAACACTTTATTCGATATCTAAACAGACACTTCTTTCACTCCAACCACTTCTTTCACTTCAACCACTTCTTTCACTTCAACCACTTCTTTCACTGTGGACATTTCTCCCGCCTCCATTTCCTTCTCATTAAATCCCAAGTATTTTTATTCGTGAAGTTCAGACAATTTTTTTTTACACTGCTTACTCTCAAACTCCCCCGCTCTCTCTCCTCCTCTCCCCTCCCCCCTCCCATTTCCTCCTCCCCCTCCTTTCCCCTCCCCTTCTTCCCCTCCCCTCCATTTCCTCCCCCCTCCTTTCCCTTGACACCCTACCATTACCCTCCTCTTCCCTTCCTACCCCTCCTCTTCCCTTCCCTCCTCAACATTCTATTCCCTATTCCTCTTCTCTCCCCAAATCCCTCACAAATAGATTATAATGAATTAATCTATTTAATATTTATTGGCCCCATGTTTTAATCTATCACCTATTGAGTATTATTCCTTTTATTAATTTTTCTAAGTCTGTTTCACTGTTTTCCATTTTTAATTGTCGTCTGTATTTCTCTACCCTTCGTGTGCATCCATGTATGAAAAAATAATGTATGCATGTATTATTAACTCATTCATAATTCTATGCGTCTTAATACATACATAATCAGTGGGAAAATAATTCTAATTATGTATGCATGTATTATAGTCATTCATATATACATTTTCATACAGTCATACACACACATGGTTATCTCAGACGGAAACTAATAATATTAATGTATGCATGTTTTTCACTCATTCATATATATATACCTGTATACATACACTCATACACACATAATCACAGTTACCTCTTTCAGGCTCTATGATTTAAGTTCCACTGTACTTATTATTTTAATGCCTGGGTCCATAACTCTAGCTGGCAGGTGAGGTAAAGTTATATTTTACGTCAGAATATTTTAGAATATTTTTTTTTTTTTACTTCAATGTTTCTCTTCAACATTTTCTTTTCAGCATTTATCATTTTTCATTTCTCACCTCAGCTCATTTGCTAATATGAAGTGTGTGTGTGTGTGTGTGTGTGTGTGTGTGTGTGTGTGTGTGTGTGTGTGTGTGTGTGAACATTAGGATTTTTTTATCTTCCTTGTGTGTAAATTGTGTGTTTAACGAAGACTTTTAATTTCTTCTAATTGTTTTATAAAAGCCTGTAACAATATTCCTCCTATATTGTATTACATCCACGAATTAAATTTAAAAAACCCAATTTTCCTAACAATAACAATTTTAAATCCCCTATTTCGTGTTATCCCCAATTTCCTCATTCGTAATTGTGTGTTTGTCAAGCCCCATTTTCTAAAATTGCGACTAAACATCAATTTTAAGCTAAACACTTCCCATAAAATAGTCAATTGTGTGATATTATTATTTCGTAATTGTGTAAAATCGGAAGTTATGAGATTTTTATTATCTGGATGTTGGATATTGTCATGTTTCAAATTTATGTTTAAAAAAAATGCAGATTGTCTTGATGGTGTACAAGTTAAATCTGTGTTTTTGGTCTTTGATAAAAATTTAAACATTATTTTTAAAGTACTGTAGTTTTATTAGAATTTTAAGGTTTTCATGGATTTTTTTTTTTTCAATTCAAATTTTTATATTTCTCTCATTAGAATTTTAAGGTTTTAATGTAGTGTTTGATAAGAATTTTAAGACTTGAATTTTTTTACTAGATTTTTTTTCTTCGTGTTACTCTTGTTAGAATTTTAAGATTTTTCAAGTATATTACAAAACTATTAGTATTTTAAAATTGCCTAAATAACTTTTTTTTTATATAATTTAAATATATTTCCTTAAAAATAATTACCCCAAAAATCAAGTTTATACTTAAAAGAATTAATCCAGGTACTGTAGAATTTTTTACATTTATTAGACGCCTTGATGAAGTTTTGTAGACCATCGTTGTGTAAGAATTCATGTAGAAGAGAGAATTTTATCGTTCTAGAATTTAATAAAAATTTTCACCTTAAAATGCAGTGAAATTTGTTGATAGGTTAAAAATTATTCTTGTGGGATTTTGTTTTTGTGGTCTACAGTTTATTAATACTGAACTGTAGTTTGAGATCATACAGACGTGTAGAGTTTCATAATTACATAAATTTTTAAATACATGAAATCTATGAAAATTTTTTAAGAGTATTCGGTGTGTCAAATTAAGCTTGTGTAGGGTTAAGTTTAAAGAGGCAATTTTTAGTGTGGTGTTAAGCTTGAATAGCATTTATAGTGTAGAATAAAGCTTTTGTAACATTATGTAGTGTAGAATTAAACTCCTATAGTGTAGAATAAAGCTTTTGTAACATTTTGTAGTGTAGAATTAAACTCCTGTAACGTAGAATTAAGCTTTTGTAAAAA